CTCGCCAAACGGTTGAAATGTTCCGCCATTTTGTACTCACGACCAAAAACAACTCAACCTCTTCCCCAGGTCTTCTCGATTAACTGTTTAGTTTTCTGGCAACTATGCTGCACAAGTGACGTCAATTTTCGCATATCGCAAAATTCTTCCAAATTTGGTCAACAGTAGCTGGTTATGATGAATCCGTGGGATTTTAGTCAATCACAAACGGAGAAATATTTCAAAAGAATAATCCTCAAATATCATTATCATTAGTATTGTCGTTGTCATGGTTGTTATTAGCTGTGGTCACACTACAGACTTTTTACCTAGGTAAACTCGACTTGTTGACAGTTTACCCAGGAAAACTTGATTTTTTAAGTGTGACCGATTTTTCCCGAAGTAACTTACCTCGTGGAAATTTTATCGTCTGGGGTTTGAATATGTCTCGAGAACAATAGACTTTCTCTTGAAAGCTACCCCAAAGCGATAGCTTGAGAAAAAAGAATCAAGGTCTTGATGACAGAGGCAGACATAGCTCAAGCGATGAAAGAAATTTTGGGGGCACGAGTCGTCTACGTCTTCGCCTGTCTTCACCTTGCACGTTGAATTAGCGTACGAAATAACAGTGAGATAAAAGGAAAAAAAAGTATCTTTGATCGGCTAGATCCCTGCGCATCTTGCCTTCTTGAATTTACGCTCCAAAAAATTCAGCTGTGTGTGAAAAGCTTGGGAGCCGAAATCAGTAGTGTGACCTTCCCAGAATTTTCTTATCTAAGTAAAACAAAACCCGAGATGAATTTAGCTCGGGAAATTTTTGTTGAATTTGCCCTAGGTAAAAGTCCACAGTGTAACCACAGCTATTATCATTATCCCTATCATTATCATTATGATTAATATTATTAATATTACTATCAACATTATTTATTCTAGGGATCTTCTAAATAATTTGCTTTCATCAGACGATTTAAAAGTCATCCTGAAAGGATTAACGAAGCTAAGTTACCTGTAAGCTGTCATAATACGTTTCCACTTCTCTATCCCCCTCTTTATATTTTATGAAGATATAGTATCATTTTGTTCTTCCTGTTGTTGTTGCTGTTCTTCTTCTTCACTATTCACCCTTTTCATTCCTTTCTGTAGTTATGTTGGAATGATATAAATAGCGTGTATGGTTGATGGTTTAGTTTTAAGCAGTTAAGAAAGAATAATAATAACTTTAACCTATTTTTTTTTTTGTCACAATAAAAAAGAAAAATGCTTACCCGTCATTTTTTCATTTTTATTTATTCGAATTTCCTTTCTAACTAATTAAAATTAGTTACTTATCTTGTGATTGAATTTTGGTATTACTTTTATTGATAGTTACTTCTAAAGATTTGTGTTGAAGAATACGAAACGTCAAGTTAAAAGTTACCTTTTTCCAGTTTGAATACACGTGTCATTTCTTTTGTCTGAGGATTTTAGGATAAATGGGGGCCTGCTGCCCAACTTCTTTAACAATTTTAGTTACCACTGGATAGCAAAAAAAAGAAAAAGTAGCAAAAATACAATATCTATTCACGACACTATATATTTTTGTTTACCATGTAAGTTCAAGATTGAATACTAAACAAAAAAAAATTAATGAAATAAATAGATTGTAGTACATCCCATTCGTTTGATTAATGTCATGCAACAAGATAGCATTTTGCCGCACGTTCGCTAACATTCTTCTTCTAGCATTTTTTACGATCAGGGGCCGGTTGCTCGAAGCCTGGTTAGCGCTAACCGTTGGTTAACAGGTATCAAAATGTATAGGTTTCCATGGTATTTAACGGTGGTTAGCACTAACCACGCTTCGAGCAACCCGGGCCAGGGTGGTAACTTGCCCCCTCAGACCCTTGGTGTATACTCCAAGGACATCCACTATAACGTTAGTGCGGTTTACCTTGAAATCCGGATGTTTCTCTCTAAGTTCGGCTCTCATGGCTGTGTACTTCATGTTATGACACTCACGTATTTTTCCTATTCCTCCAGTACGGGTATGCTGTCTCAATTATGTAGATTTTTTTCTTCTTGTCCGTATTTAAGAGCTGAGCGATTCCATCCACTCTCCAGGCGAGTTTCAGTCGCTTTAGAACAGTCCCAAGTTATATTATTTCTACATCTTTATTGCCATAGAAACTGAGAGGCTCCAGCCTGTCCCAGTGGAAGCGTCTTCTCATTCAGTCGATGGCTATGAGTAACTCATTTAATTAAGGTGGCTCCCTAGGGTAAAATGACCGTACGCAGCCTTGGCGCTAGATGTCCTTGCAAAAATAAAACAAAACATGGCAAATATGAAATATTCTCGGGTAAAAACTTTATTAACTTCATTGAAGCCCATTATGCAAGAAATGTCGTTAGTGGGAGATCAAACATTTATAAGAGGAGACAGTGTCATATGAGTTACAAGTCACTTCTGAAACTATCGATCTCCATGAGCAGGAATAGGATCATAAACAAAGCAGAAATTTCCAAAGACATCAATTATTTCGCTTTAAAAGTAGACAAACGTACTTAAAATAGTCGAAGTAAAGGGTAAAACGAAACTTTACAAAGACAAAAAAAAGTGAGTACACTACCCTTGAAGGAAGCAAGAATTGAAACGACCGGAAACCGTTTTATAAACTTATCAGAAAAAGTTCCCTTCTTGCAAAATCCAGCTGATGGAACCTAAGTTTCCGAGGAAGAACAAATCATCCTTGTACTTTTTTTGTTTCAAAAGTCCTTCAACGCACATGATGCACTAAAAGAGGTCGTCGCGCTAAGAAAAATAGTTTTTGATCCAAGGATTGACCTTTGAAGAAAACAATATAGTCGAGAACTACGTTCTTGTACGTAGTCGAAGACATGAGGAATTTAGATTCTGGAGAAGTTCAAAGAAAAACGTCACCATTAATCTCGTACCCAGATCTCCCGTGCGTAAGACAGAGTGAGATCTGGGTACGAGATTACGTCACCATCTGCATTACCTAAAGACGAATATGGTTTGAAATATATCTGGAAGTGGACTCGTATTTGAAGATTTGTAATCGCAATCACCACAAGTGACCACCACGGCTCCCTTTTTGGCTACAATAGTCAAGTTCTTCGAATATGAATTTCCCATCTCCTCCTTTTATAACTGGTGAGATTTATACCTTTTTACATTTTTACAAATGGCTTTTGTTGTTCTTGAAGAAACCACATGTTTTCCGTAGCTATATGCATTATGCACATGCGAGCGTGATGGCTCGCGCGCGTATTGTGCTCATTCGACCTCGAGCCACGCGTGCTTTCTGATTTTTGTGACGTCAGCGCAGTAAAAAAGGTAAAATTTCCATGAATTTTCTCGCGTTTCCTTCGAAAAAAATTGCCCTATTTCTTCACAGTTCCATTTAATTAAAAATGCTTTGTTAAAATTTGTAAGAGCTAACTGCCTTTATTAAGAAAAATAGCAAATTACGGAATATCGGCAAAACCGTCTTAACGATCCCATTTTTTTCCACTTTAAAATATTCAGCAATATTGTTTATATAGTGTGGCAAAGATTGAAGGCTAGTTAGAAATATTAAGAAAAAATGACCAAAATGACAAATTTCCACCTGTAAGGATGCGATGTTGTCATGGCAACGGTTTTAATCCAGAAAAGGAAACTGGATAAGTGAGCCGACTTATAAGGGTAACCATAGCAGTGAATCTCTTGAACAAAATTGCAAACTAACTAGTTTTCCTTCTGTTACGCGATAGCGAGGGTTACTAGCAAATACTCGAGGAAGCCACCTTAAAGCATCATCATGTCTGTAAATTAAAGGTATTGTCTTTGTGCTGGCTTTCGAAAACCAGATAGAACATGCCTCAGTGTTTCAGGAAATTTGTGACATTTCCTGCATGTTTTCTCTGTGTCATTGCCTTTCATTGCCCCTAGCTTCCTTTTTCTAGTGAGTTGCTGATGTATTTGGTTCAGTGGGCAGATCGTGTAGGTTGGGGCCTATTTCCATTTGTTGCACTGACAGTTCAACTGTTTCACCACAGAGTCTATGGGACACACTGCTCTCCTGCCAGACGCTGTCTTTGATCTACGCTTTTGTCTTATCCAAGACCCTTTTGCTCAGCAGCTTCTTCGCGCTGTTTAGGCGGATATAAGTCTGCCCTTCTGTTGTCAGTTCCTTTTGCTTAAAATGGCAGGAACTGCAAACCTTTCTCCATCAAGATAATTTGCAAGTTAGTTGTCTAGGTAGTTAGTTATCTTATTTGTTATACAGAATTAACTTTTTATTATAATTATTTATTAATGTAGTTGGCTCGAAGATATTAGCACTTGAGTGCCACACTGTAAATTCGAGGGTAAATAAAGTTTATTGATTGATTGATTGATTGATTGAATCATAGCTTGGTTGGAATTTTATGCATCTCCAGGGTTTTAAGAAGCCACTTTTGATTAAAAGTGTCGTATGAATCTTTCTTTTTCATTATTTTTCTTAATATTTAATTTTCGTCTTAGGGACGTTGACAAAAATAAACTTGGTCCTGTTCTTTCAGCGGACGTTTTTGCTGGCTTAAGTAGACTCGACATTTTGTAAGTTGTTAAATGTAAAGAGAGATAGATACTCGAAGAAACCTTGTTAACAACCACGAATTTCAGTTTTAAAACATACTATACTCTGAATTATTAGTATATGACGGTCGATAACAATATTACATCTTTAATACAATTCTTTCCTTCTTTTTTGTTCCTTTATTTGTCTCTATTTTTTCTTTATAAATTATCTGACATGCTGTATATACTGTACTTAACACCGTCATTTTGTTACATAACATTTTTATAACTTAGATCTCTGCATGTATATTTTTTAACTAGTTTTGATTATAAATATAACTTTATAATAGTTTAATAATAATACTTATTAATAAACTATTTGGTTATTATACCCCCCATCACTGATTATTAGCAGAGGGTTTCCTCCCATCAGACAGACATGTTTAATCGCTGAAATAGCTTTCTCGTATTTTAGATCTATGAATTACTGTGGGCTGGAGCATATAGAAAGTGGAGTATTTCAGTCAATGAAAAATTTGTCAGATCTGTAAGTATGCATGTTAAGAAAAGTACAGCTCCATCACATAATGTACCATGGTGGTACATTTTTTTTTTAGCTTAGAAAAATAATCTTGCAACATCTTAACGAGGTTAATGTATTCCAACTAGAGGCAAAGGTATTCTTCACTCTTGGGTTCATTGTGTTAAATTTCTTTAATAAAGTTATGAGCGCCCTTCCAGTTACCAAAGACGATTATGCCCAGGGTTTTGTTTGTTTGTTTGTTTGTTTGTTTAATTCTCGCAGTACTATTGAATAACTATCTAGTAATTGTTTTGAAGCGATTAATCAGAAAAAGGTGTTATTATTTATCATTATTATTACTATTACCATTATGATTGTCATTATCACAATATTATCATTATTTTTACCATACCGTTGACCCACTTTTTTTTAAATCTAAGCAACGTAAAATCCCTCTGAACTAAAATCTTAACAGAGCAAATAATGAATGCGTTTAAGGAAACGGGGGATAACATATGACAATTATTCACCGAAGTGGAGGTGGCTAGTGGTGGCTATTCACCAACACCGCGTTAGCGGCGAGGTATATACCACCACTAGCCACCGACACTGAAGTGAGATAATTGAGCACCAAAAAGATGATTTTTAACTCATTTACTGTTGCCTGCAACGATTACAATTTTGGCGCGCAATGACCGAACAGCCGCGGTCGTCGCTTCTTCTTGCCGACAAATAAAGCTTTTGAAGGCATTTGTTTAGCTCTTGCGGGGAAATTTCCTCAAAAGGAGTTGTGAATTCTTTTTGTATTTAAAATCATTCTGTAAAAAAGATTATTAAATTTAGTTTTAAGTTTATTGATTAACAAGTCAACTAAATAAAGTAACGCAAGACTTAAGTAGTAGTTTGCATTTGAAAAAAAAAACTTTTTCGCCGGTTTTATCGATAAATTCAAGTCAAAAACACAAAGCTTTACCTGTTAAAACTTCCACCCCGAACTTCGTCACCTTCTTCGTGTATTTCGGGAACAGCTTGCTTGATTATTTGTGAAATTTCTTTGTTTGTTACGGCAGCAAACCGGGGAGGCATTTTGCTCCCAACTTATGGGAGTTTGGCTTCGCTCGCTCGGAAGAACTGGAGATGAATCAGTGAATGGTGCAGGATATTCACTGATTGAGTAGCCAATCAGAGCGCGCGAAAAACACTATCCACTGTTTTAGTATATACTAAATAGATTTAGCCAGGGCTAAAAGCGAAGCTCCCATTACTAAATTTGTAATTTAAGGTGTTTCGATATAGTTTTTCAGAGGCCATACCGGTATTTTTCAATCGCTTTAAAAGTAATTTTCTCCTTGTCTGATCGCTATAAAATTTTTATCAATGATTGACTTTAGATTGAAATTTGTCAAAATGTAGGTTTTAGTAAAATCGATATTACTATGACAACAATAGACAAAAAACTTTGAAATTCATAAACGCCTAGTTTTGCGCAATCTAGACCTGCTACTGAAAATCCAACACTAGGAACTTAAAGTTTGGTGTTTAGCTAACAATCTCCGTAAAAGGTAAAAAATTATGTATGTTTGAATTCGACTAAAACGAAAATATATTTCAAACCTTAAATTTTCAATAGCAGTGGTAGATTATTTTTAAAACACGTTATAAATGACCGAAATTATTCTTATGTAGCGTCAGAATGCTGCTTAATATCATATTTCGATGCTAGCACATTTTGGTGCATTTCGTTCTTGTGATCCTAAAAACTAACCCGTTTTCTCACCACCTGTCCAAGTGCAACTTCATTCAAAATTTGGACTTTTAGCGCTTCTTTTGTATGTCTATGAAACGACTCGAACGAATTTTTTTAAAATCTCTTCACATAAACTTCATAATATATATAATTTTGTCTGAAACTTTCACCAAGATTGATTCACTGCCACACCTTGAAATTTCAAGACAAACCTATCCTACGAACCGGTCAAAAATAGGCGCTACCGCATTCACAGTTTTGACCTTATGCTAATTTTTCCAAATTAATGCGGGCAATACATATATCCATGACTAGTACATTTCAGTGTGAGTATTGTCAATGTTTTACATTCAAAAGATGCGATAAATTCAAACTAAAATGTACTAGTCATGGAGGTATGTATAGTGCGCATTATTTTGGAAAAATTAGCATAACGTCAAAACAGTGAATGTTGTAACGCAGATTTTTGACCGGTTCGTAGGATAGGTTTGTCCTGAAATTTCAAGGTGTTGCAGTGAATCAACTTTAATGAAAGTTTCAGACATTTTTATATACATTATGAAGATTACGTGAAGAGATTTTAAAAAAATTCGTTCGAGTCGTTTCAGAGATATACAAGAAAACGCTAAAAGTCCAAATTCTGAATGAAGTTGCACTTATACAGCTGGTGAGAAAACGGGTTAGTTTTCAAGATCGCGAGAACGAAAGTACACCAAAATTTCCTAGCATCGAAATATGATATTAAGCAGCATTCTGACGCTACTTAAGAATAATTTGAGTCATTTATAACGTTTTTTCAAAATAATCTATCACGGCTATTGAAAATTTAAGGTTTGAAATATATTTTTGGTTTTAGTCGAATTCAAACATACAGAATTATTTACCTTTTAAGGAGATTGTTAGCTTAACACCAAGCTTTAAGTTCCTAGTGTTGGATTTTCAGTAGCAGGTCTAGATCACATAAAATTCGGCTTTTATCAATTTCAAAGTTTTTTTTTTATTGTTGCCATAGTAATATCGTTTTTACTTTAAACTACATTTTCACAAATTTCAATCCATAGCCAATTACTGGTGAAAATTTTATAGCGATCGGACAAGGAAAAAACTCTTTTTAAGGCGATTGAAAAATATCGGTATGGCCTCTGGAAAACTGTATCGAAACACCTTAAATAAAGTAATAAACTTGTATTCCACAATCCACAAATCAGTCAACTTTAGAGCACATTCATGTGACTTTTGAGGGAAAGCCTAAGTGATTTTAGAGAAAAATAATTTGCAAACAGTCCAAGAGTGAACAAAATCTTACATCGAGTTGATAGCCTTATATGTACGCCCCCCAAAAAAAAAAAAAAAAACAGGAATCATCTTCGATCACACTTAAGAGTCATAAATTGGCTCTTGATGGCAGTAGATTAGGCCTGGAAAACAAATTCTTGGAAAACAAATGAAGCCGAATTTTTTTGCGTTCTTTAAAAAATCTTCCTAACAATCTGGGGGCGTGTAAACCAACCCTTTACACTTTTTATGCATTACCTGAGGTGAAACAGTACTATGAGCCGCTTTTTTATCATACAGACCTTGGACAGAATACAATATTTCACAATTTTGAAATACGAATTGCACTCATTCAATATTCAGGACGATCGAAGCACACGTGGGCTTTTAGCAAAACCGCTAAAAAAATTTCAAAATCACCTATACTGCCAGCCGGTTGCGAGCTGTGGAGTGTTTGAATGAAAATTAATAGAGTTACGCTTCAACACGTTTATTTTCTATTTAGTGGTTTTATAACGATGTGTAATCTTCAAAAGCGTTTGATACGCGCGGCATTTTGAGTACTCCTGCAAGCGATGTTCATGAACGACTGAAAACAAACGGCACAGCGATTAAAATTGCAAGAGAGACTTCTGACAGAGACGGAGACAACAATTTTCGTTCACAAAGACGAGTATCAAAGTGTCTCTAAAATTCCTGAGTCTTCAAGCTTAAAGTTTAAGTTTATCTTTTAAACCGGCGTCCCGGTATTTGCTTTTTTCAAAAGATGAACTCGAAGGAAGAAAATCGCTCAAAGCTTTCTTTTACAGCCAGAATTGCGGTGAGAAAATGCCTAAGGCCGAGCTTCTTAAAGTTCTGTAAGCTTACATCAAAACTGATACCCGGTCAGATCATTGTCTCAAATCGTACAAACGTGCATAAGCTAAATAGCCGCATAAACTACGCTCGACTTCATTAAATTAGATATAAAAACAAACATCAAATACAATAATTACTCACACTTACCATTCAAGATGCAGCTCCTGGAAGCTATCACATAAGGCCAGTATCGCCTCAGACTTTTACTCTCTTACGCTTCAAGCAAGGTGAAAAACGAAAACGATGCCATCCGAAATCGGATTTCTGACGTTGACAAGGCGACGTATTTCTCAACCAAAACCCCAAAAAACAAACTAGCCACGAATAACAGAAGACTTCTTGATACCAGCTGAATTTCATTTCTTGTAAAACATCACAAGTTAACACAAAACTCTGTCGGTTTCAGCTGTCAAAGTAAACAAGTTTCAAGATGCTGCATAAATTTTCCGCATGAACTCACCTGTCAAATTTTGACCAATCAGAGTATAAAAATTGGACGTAGAGCGTGACCAACGCGTGACCATGGTGAGAAAAGTCAAAAGCCACTGTACTTCCCTGCCTGTAATAGCTGGCTAAATTTTCGCGTCCGAGGTCGGTTTGAAATCAAAATTTGTCATTGTGCGGCACATAAACACAACATATTTCATATCGATTAAAAAAATTAAAGTTGAGCCTGCGATCATTTGAAAACTTTTAACTTGTCAGCGGATAACTTCAACAAAATACCCGACCTCGATGGGTCGACACCTGAACCCACGATACGGTCAGGTGGTACTGGTCAGCGGATACCCTGTTTTGACAGCTGTCAATTGATCACTACATTGATGTGCAATATCAGTTTTCCTGTGCTCGCAAATTAGCTAGAAAGTGTGAGATTGAACAGTGGTTTCCCTGTGGTGTGGACGGACGGGCGGGCGGTGTACGGTTACGTGAATACCAAATTTTCTGGGATGGGTAGATTTACTTAGCTATGGGGCTGCGCTCGCGCGCGCCTTGCGCGCGTGGCGCTCCGATATAAATGAAGGGAGACGAAACGCCCATGCAAGTTGCTGAGTGGTAAAGACTGAATCGAGCGCGCTCTGCTTGCATCAAGTTGCAGCAGGAGCCTATAACATGGGCTCCTGGTTGCAGGAACATGACAGCGAGTGAAGTCTCATGGTTGGATGAGAATAAAGCAATTGCTCAGTGAAATCCGTAAGTGGTCACGGCAAATAATTTTTAGAAATAAAACAGCAATTTATTTTCTAAAAAACCATCGAACCCACTTGCTGCCATGTTTTCAACTTTGAACATCCTCGACCCATTACTACTCCGTGTGGTATTGAAGTCGCATCATCGTTTCTTTTTAGCTGCCTGATCGTAATTATTCGTTTCCTTAAATTTCTTTTTTCAGTAATCTTAAATGGAATGCGTTGACTAACATACAGGCATTAAAGGGGCTTGAACAACTAACCGTTTTGTGAGTAATGAACTGATGCTTTCTCGCTATATAGACTGCTCTTTATAATTATATTCCATACTCTGTCGTTACTTATTGTTTAGTTCTGTATTTAACCATTTATTTTTTAGTATGAGGTGGCTATTCAAGCTAGACTTTCGGTAGCGTTAGGTTTTCGCAAATGATTAGCATTATTAGTTCGTTTGAAATAGTGTTATGCGTTTGAAAGCTCTTACTGCTTTGGACACTGTACACAAATGATTAATTGATTTTAGCCTAATGATTATGTATCAGCTTCTTAATTCTCCTACTGACGTACATTTGTGTACATGCCTTATATAGTGTGAAATAAAGAAAGGAAGAAAGAAAGAAATATCTAATTTGGATTGACATAGCTTTTTTTTTTTTCTAACCATGAAAATCACTGTCTTATGCGTGTTTCTTTTTTCTGTTTTTGTTTTGGAACTAAAGGCGTTTACGAGGGAACAGAATTTCGACGATCGCTGATAGAACATTCGAAGGATTAAAATATCTTTCCACACTGTAAGTGATTCTAAAAAGGTTCACTTTGAGGCACAAAATAAATTGTACACTACAACAGATCGTATTGCTTTGATAACAATAACAAAAGCAGAGTTCGTATAGGTAATAGCATTATTTGTAGTGATATTTGGCATAAATACTACTAGTGATATTTCAAAATTGTTATACGTAATTTCACGAGCCGTTAGGCGAAATTTGAGACAATTTTGAAATATAACAAGTGGTATTTATGCCAAATATCACGTACAAATCATGCTATTATTTGTTTATACTACTACCCGTAAATGGTTTGTAATTTTCACATATGCATGTAGGTATTTCAAATTAAGCTGAAATACCACTGCTCTAAGCCAGTCAAATTGCAGAAATTCCTCATGTAGTAGTATAATAAATAGAACTTGTTTACGTAATGAAAGGTTCTGCTGTTATTTTCATCTTAGAAAATCCATTACAAAGACATACGACTTTATAATAAGGCAAGAGAGGATAAAGGGGACAGAGAAGGCATCCTCCGTACACACCCTATTCCATAGGTAATTCGTCTCGAGTTATTTTTAAGACCACAGATCCCAAGGGGGATTTGACAACAGCCAATCACGTAGCGCGAATGTGTTCCTCGTGGATGACCCACGCTCTGAGCCACGCGTCCTTCACGAATTGAGACAGAAAAAAATGGCGGAAGACGCGGAGAGCGATATTGCTATTCGTTTTGTCGACGAAAACGACTGAAGAGAGATTTCTGCTAAAGCTGTGTCAGCAAAACGGAAGTTAAAAAAGAATCCTTCTTCCTCTCTTACTAACAGTACAGCAGGGAAATCCTTAACACACTGAATATTCTCTCAGGATCATTTATAATTTACAGTTTGAAGAGAGCAATTTCTGGTTTGATATATATCCTTAATTAGTCTTTTATTATTCAACAGAAATAACACTTGGCGTCCTATAATAATAATAATAATGATAATAATAATAATAATTTAATAACTTCTAGAGCGCTATTTACATTCACTGATCAACAGCGCTTAACAACTCAAAAAAACTACGATAAAATTCAAATTTGTAAAACTAATTACATGTACATGAATATTACTTGCTGCTTACTTTATTGTACAAAAGATCGGTTTCAATAGACCGGCGAAATTTCTCATTTTGTTTAAGCACTGAGGTTACGATAACTTCGGGTTAAACTGATTTCACGGGTTGTCAAAGAGTCGAGTGATTCCCTTTTCCCAGGTGAGCGCCGACTCATTTCGCTTCAATATTCAGAAATACTCTCGATCTCTTTACGCTTTCATTGCCTTTCGCCCGACATAACTCGAGACGAATTGCCTATGGAATAGGGTATGTATGGGGGATGCCTTCTCTGTCCCCTTTATCCTCTCTTGAATAAGGCTAAGGCTGATGCTTAATGCTATTGGTTTTGAAAAATTATTTTTCTGATGTCTATTGTTATTCTCACATCTAAAATCTAACATTTGACGGCACAAATGGTACACTCAAAAGACTGCCATTTCCAATAAGCAGGACAGATATTCCCATCGAAGTGTCATGCTAGCGGCTTGCGGACTTTTTGCGAAGACTAACAAACTCTTAAACACAGAGTTAGATCTTTGCCAGTCGAGCAGCACATCTGTCGGTTATTGTTTAATTTATTCAACAGGGACTTAGGCCAAAACCTTCTGAGATCCGTGCCAGATTTGACAGGTCTGGTCGATGTCGGGGTCATGTAAGGAACTATTACTTTTTTAAGTTAATTTTCTTACTTAGTGCAAAGGCCTCCTAAGATGGTGATGAAGATTGCGCAGAAGAAGAGTATGTTCAATCTTACACAAGACATTAGAGATCTTATGCCGATTCCTTAGCGGCTTTCGGCTGCTAAGACAATTCTGCTTCAATAACTCCTTACTAGAGGAGCGGTCAGGAAAAATCGCGCAAAATCCTAATTTCGGGGCAAGCGCTGAAAAATCTAGCCTGAAATTCATCCGATTGCTTCGAGTCGTTTTCTCCTCTCAACAACGTCTGAATCGACCGACCGTTAATGCCGTCCAGTGACGTCAGTCACTACCCGAAAACCGGGTAGTGATTTTGATTGGTTGATTGTCTAAACATTCGCATAATTACGTATAATTATGAAAAATTTTAGCGGGATTGTCTTTTGATACTCAGCGGATCGCATCCCAGGCATTCTTTCGTGTAGAATCAAACTCGGTCGCAATCACGCGATGAAATAAACACACACAAGAAACTCTTAGTTCAAAAACACAATGATTTGCTTTAATTGAAAAGAAGCTGTTTGGTCCTTAACGAAGAAAACAAAACAAGGAAACAAGAAAGAAAAGCTAAAAGAATCATTACGCTTGACGGTGAAAATAGCAAGAAGGTCGAATTATAACATTGATCTCAGAAAAAAGGTAAATTTAAAAATTGTAAGACTGACGCGGTTATTATAAGAATCTTAACCGACGTTTCGGCAATGCTGCCTTCTTCAGGGTATACAAGAATAAACAACGTTAGAAGTTCGTTAAATTTAGCTCACGTAATTGATGGCATAATCGCGCGCGTGCCAAATGAAATAGCGCGCTACGGCGCGCGAGTGACCAAAAGAAAAAAAAAGGGGGGGTGATTCACGTAAAACTAAAGTCTTGGTTAAGGCCTCTAGGGCCTGCAGTCCCATATTTGAATATCAACCTCATCTCCTGCTTCTTACGATATTCCTGGTTGGCTAGGCCTGCCCTTCATGTCCTCCAGTGTATGACTTGGTTGGTTGAAGTGGGCAGGTACAGGAAGGTCATTCCTCCCGTTGATGATATCTCTGCGGTGTTCTCGAAAACGGTCTGCCAACCTGCGTCCAGTCTCCCCAATGTACACTATCGATGGACACTTGGTGCACGACAAGCAATAAACCACGTGTTCAGTGATGTAGGAAAAATGTCCCGTGATGTAAACATGCCCTTTGGGTGTTGCAATTGTGGATGATGAATTAACATGGGGACATGTGCGGCAAACGGTCCTGTTACAAGGGAAAGTACCAGGTAACTGGTGTGGAAGGTTTTGAAGTAGGCTGTTTCTGACTAGCAGATCGTTCAGATTCTTGCCACGCCTGAAAGCCTTCAATGTTGGTTTATTAAAGATCCTGCTTGTCCTGCTATCCTCGCGAAGGATCCGGAAATTCCTTGAGATTATTTTCTCGACAACAAGGTGACTGGGGTGGAAGGTAGTGACAAAAGGTACTCTATCCTTAGCGATGTTGTTAGCAGCGTCATTCTTCAAAATTTCAGCCCTTGATTTGGTCGATGCTCGCTCCCTTCCCCTTCTAATGAGATCAGTCGGATATCCGCGTGCTGCAAAAAAGGTCTCCATTTTTGCTGCCTCAATGTCGAAGTCAGCGATCTTACGCAGTCTGAGAAACTGACTTTAAGGTATGGATGACTTGCAACTGTAAAGATGGGATGAACTGAAGTTGAGGTAAGAGTGGCTATCCGTGGCTCTGTAATGTATAGAAGTGGCTATGCGATTAGCTTGAGGCTTCATGCAGATATCCAGGAAAGGAAGTCTGTCCGTTGAGACCGACCATGTATATTCAAGGCTAGGGTGAAACGAGGAAGCAAACTCGAGGAACTGACGGAGGTCCTCTTCACTACATGAAGCAGCGCCGGCCACATCATCCATGTACCGCTTGTATAAGTCTGGTTTTACACCGGTATAACTGGAAAGCATGCGTTCCTCCACATGGCCAACAAAAAGACAGGCATAATTTTCGGCCCTACTCGACTACCCATGGCCACTCCACCTGTTTGTTTGTAATATTCACCATTTAATTCAAAAGTGTTAAGTGTCAGTATTAGTTCAGCCATGCGTAGGAGAGTATCCGTAGGTGGTTCAAGGATCTCTCTCTTGTCAAAATAGTATTGCAGTGCGCGGAGACCTCCTTCATTTGGTATAACCGTATACAGTCTTGTATACCCTAAAGAAGGCAGCATTGCCGAAACGTCGGTTAAGATTCTTATAATAACAGCGTCAGTTTTACAATTTTTAAATTAACATTAAGTACTACGCTGCGCAGGTTTTTCAATCTTGATCTCAGAAAACTTCGCGTAAACAAAATCACCGGCCGCCGAAACCACAAAGCGGCTCTAAATGGAAAACCTACTGACTGTCCGCAATCATTCTTCATTCGCAATTCAATTTAGCATTTCAGTCATTTCAGTTTCGAAGACAAGGGCAATTTTGCTGTTTAAGATAAAATATAGAATTCAGTGCAACCGGTTCAGAGTTGTACTGCATGCAGTTGATAGTTTGAATGTTAAATATGAATTACGATCGAAAAAATAAAGCAATTCTGTATCATGCAGACATTTCCAAACGATATTTCTCGGTTTGCCACTTGAAACTCGTGTGTTACTTTTTGCATGAATTAAAGCAAAGATCAAGGAGTAGTGACGTCACTGGACGGCATTAACGGCCGGTCGATTCAGACGTTACTGAGGGAGCAATAACGACTCGAGGTAATCGGATGAGATCCAGGCAATGAAAAATCAATTTCTTTAATTTTTTTGTCCATATACATGTACCTTTAGGAAGATAATAATTTTGATGTGAATTATTCCCGCAAAGAGCTTTTTATTCGAGAGAAAAAAAACTAGAATATTGGTCTTCGAGGTCGGAGTCTCAGAATGGCCTAACTTTTCCACTCTTCTCGCGTTCGCAAACAAAGATGGAAAAACTTGGACACTCTCCAAAACCAAAAACAACAACAACAACCACGTATTTTCTTTCATTAGATAATACTTTTTTAAGGCAATAGCTAGACTCTTCGAACCTAGATAATTATTCAGAAATGAAGGATATGTTTCACGATTATCATAACAAAAATTTAAGTTTCAAGTTCATTTCGATTAAACTTCAAATTCTCGTCATTATAGCTTGTCGTTTAACCAAATGGAAATTGGCTTAGTTTGTTGAAGAAACTCTGAAAGACGGAGCTAGAGTTTTGGTACTTGACATTTATCGAGAAAAAATGACTTTCACCAAGGCAATTCACTAAAGGATGACTGAACAAGAAGATATTTCGCTTTATAACCCTTCAATTAATTTTCGCGCTATTTTTTAATTTGGCCTTCATTTGGGGTCAGCTCGTAGCAAATCGGAGAGCGAATATTAGGCAATACAGCCCGTCTGCGTCGAATTTTGTCCTACGAATTTTTGGAGGCAATAAACCATTAAAAAGTCTCTTTTCAATTTTTATCATCCATTTAAATTCCTATTTAAAGCAGGAAAAACACATTTGAGCTAGTCGCATACGACAGTTCCGGAAAACACAAAGAATCAATAAAATATGAGATGAATCGAAGATGAGCACATTCCTGCATTAACTTGATTACAGCTGTCCGCTGTCATAGCTGTCCGCTTTGACAAAAAATACTTCAATTCACTTTTTTGGAAAATAAAAGTGCGAGAATAATTCACATCAGATTACTTATCCACTTAAAATGTATCTATGGACAAAAAGTAAAAGAAATCGATTTTTCAACTCTTGCCACTGAATGCTGGATACTTCCTTACTGTCGCTTTTAATATACAAACATTGTGAGTTAAGACTACCTCTACCTCAGTAGAAGACGTTTCACATACAATTTTAGTCTGATACCTAGTTTCTTCAAGTTTATCTCAGCGAGGGTGACAAGGGTAACTTGCCAAGAAACTTAACATTTACAGTGCAAAACATTTAAAGGTTCCTTTTTCTTTTAATACTCTTTTTGAAAATGAATGTTACCATTTCGTATTTCAGACGTTTCGACGATAACCAGATAGCGGACATAACAAAGCTTGGCAAGGCAGGATATATATTCATTTGGAAGCTGTAAGTATTAAGTTTATCGCAAGTCCGTCCGAGTCGAGGCGCTAGAAGCAAGAAGCCTTTTTTGATTAGCCGTAGCTAAAAAGATAGTAATAATTTCGAGGCCAGTGTCCCTGAATCAAACACTACAATAGCGCTAAATGTTTAGGGAAGAATTCTAAAAAGCAAATTTAGTGTTTTGAAAAATTCATTTGCGAATTGCTTTTTACTATCATCGCCGCATTAAAAAAAATGAACACAAGTTATCTCAAGCCGTAGAAAAAAGTAAACCGACTTGACTATAATAGTTAATCGTTTGTCATTTGAATTCTACTTAAGTAATACAATAAAAAGACTTCACAGAAAAGGCGATAACAGAAGTGTTCAATGTTCAACGAGTGTTCATAATTAACTCAATCTTGTTACAGTTACTTTTACGTTAAGAGCAATTTTGGGTAACTAAATGGTTGCACAAGTTTCACTTTACTTCAGGCGGGTGATGAATGATGAATTATTTAGCAACTATGGGATGAGGCTGAGTATGATTTGAACAACTATGCAGTTTGCGTTGACGAGTGTTATCCACCAAGGCTGAAGGCTGAGGCGGATATCTCCTTCCACGATCTGCATAATTCTTTAAAAAATAAAACATCCTTACCTCTTTCCTTGAAATGTTCCCATTTTCATAATAATTTTATTTTCCTCGTCATTTTCAGCTTATGAAGGGAATTCTTTATTTAGCAAAAATTATGTCAATAGCACGGATGTCAGATCACTGCTAAGTGGTATTTTTGCTAAAATTGTTATTTAAGACGGTTAGGGTTTTTGATTTCTTCACAAAACTAGAAAATTGCCATTTTCTCCAACTATGCCAAACAGCTAAACATTCACATCTTCTGTTGTCCCTTTTTCTTTCGATGTCTTTGCAATACATACCTACAAATATCTTCCAAATTAGGTCAATGGTAGCTGGTTATGAAAAATCAGGTTAACCGAAATATTCGAGCCAATTAGAAATGGAGAAGTATTTCGAATGAATTATAAACAGGATTTAAATGAACTACCATTTGTTCATTTTTTTCTATTATTATTAAATGTGTTCTCTTCCAGTGATCTGTCTACAAATATGATTGACCATTTACCACCCACGGCTTTTAAAAACACTTATATCAGAGCAGTTTTGTAAGTTTTCCAACGCTTTTATAGAATGATAATAATAATGATAATAATAATAATATTTATACAGGATAACCCCGTTAGTGTAATAAACACTGTTATCAAAGGGGGTCCTGTTATTAAAATACATAAAGAAAACTAGTACAAAAAGTCTAAAAGGTAAAAACTAAGAAAATTGTGCAAGGCTGATATATAAAAACAAATATTTAGATCAAACAGATAAAAAAAACTTACTAACTAATTAAGAAAAAATATTTAGTTTCCCTTGAGAAATCAAGGAAGGATTTCTTTGATTTGATAAAGATGGGGAGGTTGTTAAATTCAATCGCAACTGTGAAATAAAACGATCTCTTTGCGACCTCTAGGTTCACTTTCGGGATATGAATATTATTGCAGCATCTAGTTGTTACGGAGTGTACGGACGCAAGTAGTGGGGTATGGATGTTTTACTTCGTTTTTGTGCGAGGGAATTTCATCAACTTGGGGGGGGGGGGAAACATTAACGCCGATGATGTCATGACCTTTTGTCTTTATCTCATGAATACAATACGGAGGTCGTCTGCATCTTCCAGTTGGTTTAACCGGTTTTACAGGTTTTTGCTATTATTAGACGGATGATGTGATAGTTTATTTTAATTATGTGTGTCATATCCTTATGTGGGTATGATGTCATTGTTTATATTGCTTTAACTAGGATTTTATGTATGGATCATCTGAAGGAGGAAAAATGGGTATTCAGCAGTCTTTAAAAGTAATAGAGCTTGATCACTATCGTATGATGGCCAGGACCACAACTATCTGTACTGAAATAACGTCGCTTAACAAAAAACTGTGTGACCTACCCGGATCAACAATTTCTAAGCTGAGAGAAAACAATTATGATCTTTTGACCTCGGAGGAATGGGAATGATTGTAGTTTTTCTCTGCGGAGCAGAGTTTTCACCAAATTTCAACTTTCTGATAATCATTTTGTCAAGTGCGCGTGACATCTGTAAAAGAGGCAGATTCCGTTACAAGTCATAGTCCTTAAGTTATCCATTTATCTCATAGTACTCAAAGTACTTACAACAAGCCCCAGCATCAAAATATCGAATTAAAATGATAGTCGTAGTGATCATTTTCGGCCAAAAATTTCAGTCACATTCCTTACAAGCACAGCCGCCCTTGTATCCTGATAACAGCGTAGAATTCAGAAAAAACTCACCTCTCACCTTTTGGTCACTTGAGATCGGTCTACAGTTCATTAAACACTAATAATTATGAGCAAATGCTTGCATGGCCACTGATCTACATTTGCATATGAACTCTGCATGCGGAGAAAGCTCACGGGACAACGTTTAAATGTCTACTATTAAATAAAACAATAGTTGACCTACGTCCTAAGAAATGATCAATCACGCGACCTAATTAATAAATGCTCCCAATAAAACCAGACAAGAGATACCATTTTAAAAACTTTATTGAAGAACAATAACAAAAAGAATAAAATAGAGAGCAGTTTGAAAGTGATTAAAAATCAGTCATCTCCTTCGTTATTCTCTTTAGAAAACGAATAAAAATTGGTTTCCAACGTATTCGCGTTTTTGTGTTTTTCTCCACAGTCGTGACACCGTATATAATTTGATGTAATTTCTCTCTCGGGGATCTCGTGATCACATATCTCATAGGACAAAACTTGTAGTAATCGTGCCAAGAGCATTTAGGACATTTCATAATCAATGCCCCGTACACATTAGATTCTCACAATGTTCACAGGGATTTTCCGAGTGAAAGGTAGTGGACGTTTCAGGACTACTACTCTCTGTTTCCTGACTGTCGTTTTCAGTGTCGTTGTCGCTCTCTTGGGTATATCCAGCTTCACCAACATTCACAGAAACTAATTTCTCCCCCTCTTCCTCTCTATTCGATGAACTTTCTACACTGCCCTCGTTCGAAAGTATTTTCGTGATTTCGGTAGTCTTTTTCTCTTTCTTTTAAATCACTTAGGATTTCATTGTTCTTTATTACGCCCTTATCAATTCCTAACTCCGCAAGTCCTTCTAGGAAGTTCAACGTATTCGGTGCACGAGGTTTGGTTTACGTCATCGTTTTGTGATAGTAGTACATACTCAAGTAGCTCTGCGATGTTTGTAACAGGAATTATGCGTCTATTTCGAAGTAACTGTCTGCGGAAAGTCCGGAATACAACATCTCTTGAAGTAGCCATGTTATGCAACAAATCAGAAACACTCTGTTAAGACACCGATTGGGAAAGATTACTCAAGGCATCGTTAATCCTTGGTTCTTTAATCCTCACTTTCATCAGGAGAACCTACGCTCTCCTCACTTTCACTCTAGTGTTCTTCATCAACCAAGTCTATCTTTCTCTTCATCTCCGCGACCAGTGCAGATGGTAGGTAGGCTTCAAATGAGTATCTTATAGTTTCGTTTTCTCTTTTATAGCACCAAAAACCCTAAGTTTTGTAACGGCAGCCAGTTGAATAAAACCACCATCCTCTTGTACAAGGATGCGCTTCTTTGTTTTGTAAGGGACATTTGTATTTGCTAGGTTTAATAGAGCATCTTTATATGGCAACACTTTCCGCTTATTTTCTTAAGGAATAAGAATAGTTTCCTTACGTACATAAGACTTGGACTGATGCATGTAGTTGTTGTGGAGTGGCTCTCTGTAAGAGAAACTGGTGCTGATTAGCTGGACAAACAGCAGGGTTATCCAACGTCCGTTTTCTGTGAAATATCTGTTCGGAGAAGCAAAAATTGCCTAGAATTTTGTATACCTTGAGGAAGGCTAAAAATTTCTAGATGATCGTTCCATCCATGTACAATTTTCGAAGCTTATCTAATAAATTCCCTACGATTTTGTGAAGTTTTATTTTTCCTATTTAACTTCCCAGGTTAAGCTATTTTTCGTAGGGTAAGGAAACCTAAAATTTTCGGAATCGAAAATGCGATGCAGAGAGGAATTTGGAAAATTTTCACTTTTGTAAAGGTGATGTTACACGGGACGATTCCTAACGACGATTTTTAGCGCAACCCAACGTTGCAACATTGCTGCAATATTGTTTCAATTGCTGCAACATTGTTCCAACATTTTAACCCTGTGTTCAGCTAAAAATCGGAATTGCAAATTGTAGAAAATACTCTCGTACAGTTTGAATTCGACTTTTTCTTCTCGATTCACTAGAACAATTACAGCAAAAAAAAGAAAATACAGAATTAATAAACGCGGACCGAAAACCTTCCAAAAACGATAACTTAAAGTACAAAAAATGCGTAAGAAAACGAGCAAAAGATACGGGAAAAACTATACTTACAAGATCTGTACGGCACCTCCGGATGCAACTAAGCGACTGATTTACATAAACCACAAAATAACACTTTATACTAAACTGGACTGAAAACAATAAACCTAATGAACTTACGAAAATTTACACCGAGACTAGAATTACAGAAAGAGTACACATGAAAAAAAGCTAACAAAAAACTACTCCAAGCGCGATAACAAAGGTACTAATTAAACTAACTTTACTCAACGCAAAACATGAAAAATAAAGAACAGGAAAAAACTCGCAGACTCTCGTGGCTACACAAATCGTCCCGTGTAACATCACCTTGAAGCTTTAAATTGCTGTAAAATGTTTGGGAAAATAATACTGAAGCCCTTGTAATTTCGAAGAGACTCAAGTTTCCCTAGGATGATCGAACAGATATAAATTTTTTAGCGGCACTAAGAATACATATCTAGAGATCTAAAAGTACGTTGGATAGTGGAGGATAAAATCGAAATGTGGTGGTGGTAGAAGGAAACAATAGAAATGTTGTGGTGAAAGGTGGTGGAAAACAATAGAAATGTGGTGGTGGTGGTGGTGGAGGAATAAACCTATTTAAATTCGCAACATTGTACCTTTTTCTCAGTCTACATTCTGCTCATGAGGAGTTGACATGAGTTCGTTCTGTTCCGTTTGCGAAAAATCGTTTAGTAGAAAGGACAGCATGCAAAGGTGTTAGCCCAATCCGGGTCAAAGACAACAGCTAAACGACAAATAGTCTGTAAAACTCAACATCTTTACTGCACTCGACACTCAGTCGTTCCGATTACATTCGATTGCATCATCCCAAGATTAAGGACTCGGGCCCAGCCCATTTCAGTCCTCTCTACTTAGTCCTCTACAAAGGCACTTGATGGGTCAACACCGCAAAGCTGGTCTCACCCCATTTCAAACAGTTCCAATGCCTTCAACAAATGTCAGAGGTCTCGCTTCGAGCATCCTTTTACCTGCTTGGTTTCGGGGGTGACCCGGTCTGGAAAGACAGCTTGGGTTCGAGCTCTATTACAACAAGCATCCGATGCAATTTACCTTCCCTTGGACAGGATCGTTTGGTGTAATTCACAGTGACAACCTGCATACCACACATTGAATTTGTCAAAGGTATTCCTGCGGCTTTGGAACAAGATTCCTATTTTGATGTGAACAAACGGAACTTGATCGTGTTTGACGATCAAATAATTGACGCCATTTAAGACAAGCGGATTGTTAACCTGTTTACTCGTGATTCTCATCATCGAAATCTAAGCGTGATTTACCATCGTACAGAATCTCTTTCATTAAGGGAAAGGCAGCCGCAGCATAAGCTTCAACAGTCACTGCTTGGTGCTCCCAAGAAACCTCAAGACAAATTGCAAATTTTGACTCTTGCCAAGCAAATATATCCCGGGAAGACTGACTTAAAAGAGGCTGTGAAAACACTCTGGTTACCAACTGTAACGAGAGGAAATTCACTGCGTCAAGCGGCTTTTCAGCCTGTCAAACCAAATTGGCGGGAAAGTCGAACTAGGAAAACAACGGAACTAAAGCTCTTCGCGAGGGCGAGAGAATTAGCAAATAGTGATCAGCTAATGGAAGTTATTGACGGGGGAAACTGCAATTCGGTAGAGCGACTGGCTCGCTGCTGGCACTCGTTACTACTGCCAGAGGTAGAGGGTCTAATTTCCACCTCCCAAGGTACGAAGGTTGGACAAGAACAGAGACTCTTCTGTAATGCTGCAACTTCTTTATTGTAGAGTAAACCACGTAGATAGTACTTCACTCGTAATCGCAGGCTAGGTAATCGATTTACAACAGTTTTTAAACTGTTGTTAATCGATTACCTGTATAAAAGCAGTGCTTTTAAGAAACAGGTGTTCGATTATCACAAAGGAACACAAAAACCTATTCAAAAATACTCGTGCTAGTTGATCAACGCGTTACAATTCGATTGGTTAAAATACTTTTTCATTATGGTGAAAATACAATTCTTTCTATTTCGGTTCCTGGACTTTAAGAAAAACACACGTTGTAAATCAAGCTGAATGAATAGAGCACAACAGTTGTTTCTTTGAAATGTAAAATAGTTCTTGTCTAACAAAGAGACAGGTACAGAAGTACAAGTGTTCTATTGAAATTATATGTCAGATGTTCCGATATTTGTGCACATGTCACTGCCTGCTATTTTGCATTCGAATAATATGTTCATTTTAGCTGTGGAGTTTTAGAAAGATACGAAAGAGTTTAAACTAGATTTGTTAAATAGTGCAGAATTGCTACAATAACGCTCTGATGAAACTGAGTTCCGTTCTAAAGATAACAAATATCGGCTGTGACACAACTAATTGATCTGAAAATCACCACAAAATTGTCGACTACGAACAAACGTCCTACCCAGTGAAGAAGGCTTTAACCAGGCAGGGCTTCATGACAATATTCCTCAAAAGTTTCTGAAATATCTAAAGCTGCAAAATCTTTCTCCTGTCCCGCTTCTTCCAGCTATGCAAAGAGATACAGGGCAATATGGATGATGTGCTTTCCCGAAACGATCTTCGCGACGATAAAAACTATGTCGTTCAGTACTATTCAAAACACTTTGAACACATTGTTGACTTTCTGACAACTTTTTTACGTCCGGTACCTTCAATTTCAAAACAGATGCCTTGCTTTCAAAAAAAGTTAAATTCAAGAACACGGCCGGAAGAAAGAATCAGCGCTAATCCAGACTGAACATCAAGCACACAACCCCTTCAACGTAACACCTGACTTAAAACAGGCAGCCATCATACAAAAACCTGAAACAGAAAATTCCACCGCACTACCCCCCCAAATCCTTATTTCGTGACTCCTCCTTCCACAGTAACCACAAAAACCCATCACAAGCGCCGAAACGCAAAAAGCCTCGCACTCAGATTGTAAATTATTTAGGTGATGATAATGATGCTCAAGGCAAACAAAAGAGAAGAGCTCGCCTTAAGAAATTTTGAGCCCAACCTTACAAGTATTCCAAGGGGGAACTGAGAAGATGATTGATTTTTTAATCGGTTTCAAATTGTTAAATATTTTATTCTTTTTGTAATTGTTTTTCAATAAAGTTGTTAAAACGGTATCTAGTGTCCAGTTTTATTTCGAGCATTTATTACTTAGTAGCGCTATTAAATTGATCATTTCTTAGGACTTAAGTCAACTATTGTTTTATTGAATAGTAGATGTTTAAACGTTGTCCCATGAGCTTTCTCCGCATGTAGAGTTCATATGCAAATGTAGATCAGGATCAGTGGCCACGCAAGCATTTGCTCATAATTATTACTGTTTAATGAACCGTGTAAACCGATCAAAAGGGCCAAAAAGTGGAAGGTGAGGTTTTTTTCCGAATTCGACGCTGCTATTAGGATACAAGAGCGGCTGTGCTTGTTTTGTAAGGAATGCGACTGGAATTTGTGGACGAAAATGATCACTAAGACTATTGTTGAGGCCAATCCTCAACAAGAGAACATTTTTTTGTTTTCCTAGTCCGTTCCATTCCGTTTTGTAATTTATTCTCCCAGCATGCTTAGTGAGCGCGTCTCAGTGTCGTCGTGGAGCGAGAAAGAAACCATGTGCTTTGTAACGCGCTAGTCGCCGGGAGTTTCTCATCGTATGGTGAGTCTTAGGAGCTCGTTTATTTCCAAATCCCTTTCCAGCAGTGATTAAGTATTTGTTTTGTAGGTTTTTACTTGCGAGGTGAAGCTTGTTAGCCAAAGATGAGACTCCAAATTCGATCCTGTTGTGTTGTTGAGGAAATATGCTGAGTGTGCAACTCTCGATTATTAAACTTGTGTTCAGGGACCCTTGTGTTGTGAAAGCGCGTTTTGTCCCCTGGACATCTTCGTAAAAACCATACGAGCATCTTGCCTGTGATTACTGGACGTCCAAAGTCTTAACTGTGAAAATATTTGTGCGTGTGAATCGAAGTGACATCAAAGGTCATGACTCAACGAGGAATTCTACTCGAGCG